ATATTAATGTATACATATGTAGATATGGAGAAAGACGTAAATATCAACAGTGATCGGTATGATCTTGCAGTTTTCTGGACGATAGCGTCTGCATATATAAATATGTATACATCCCTTTGGGTAGATGCGTACATATAAATATGCACATACTCAATACAAACAGTAAAAACAACTGAACATAATAACAGTAACCACAATTACAGTATGTCCCTAATATTTTGCACACGCGAGCACAGGCGCACATTCGTATCTACAACAAAAGTCCAAAACATTCGCCAAAATATCGGAAAGTCGTCTACACATACAGACCGCCTCGAAACCACAGACGTACCAAATTATCACTCAGGTTCGACAGAGTGTCTTTTAGGGCCGTTTTGTCCACATCTCCGTTAAGGTAGAGGGTGCGAGATAGCAGGATCAAAGACGCGGGCACCCCGGCTTTGTTGAGTTCAATCCATTGCTCCAGTTGGTGTTGTAGGCGCGAGAGGGGCAGACCCATTGACCGCATGCCGCGCTCAGCACATGCGTACTGAGAGATGTAAAGAGATGCACAGGAGGATAGGCAAGGTGTGGGTTGATATGAGGATCAGCCTACCACATGGATATATACTTGTACGGCATGAATATATACTTGTACTAAATAATTGTATATTTGTACTAAATGATTATACACTTGTACTAATTGATTATATACCTGTACTAAATGATTACATACTTGTACAACGCCATACGTGGATATACATCCTTGTTGGTAGACGGTGTTGTAGGCGTGAGAGGGGGCTGCCTGTGTCGTCTGTGTACGTAAACTATTGGATTGTGCACGTAAACTGCTTGTTTGTGATCGTGTGTTACGCGGATGTGTATGTATGTTTACGTTTACGTGTCCCTGTACTTGCATATACGTACGCGCAATAGCTGGCTGCTAGTGAAGCACTTTTCCCGCACACGCGAAAGTAAAGACCCTTAACCCGCATACCACACGTCCTATTAGAAACTAAAGAGGTGCACAAGATGATACGCAAAGTGTTGGTTATAATCCACGCGTAAGCGAGTGTCGGCAATGGTTTATACCAAGGGCATGAATATATGCTCAGATGTGGGTACGTACACGTTTACGTATAGCATTAAATTGATTTCCAAGTAACTCGTGTGTTGACATACATTGATACGTACTTGAACGTAGAATGAAGAAAGTTACCTGCAACTCGCTACGTGTACGTATATTTCATATACCTCTATGCAACATGTACCAATATATCTGTATTGCCTACAAGCACACAGACACACACATATACTTGTATTTGGTACGATCATATATAACTGCAGCTGGCTACATGTACGTACATTTCATATACCTCTATACAACATGTACCAATATATCTATACTGCATACCAGCACACAGATACACACATATACTTGTACATGGCACGAGTTGATATACCTGCAGCTCGCCTACAGTGAGTGTGTCGATGCCTTCCTTTGTGATCATGACATCATCCGCCGACAACTGCCTCAAACAGGTTCTGCGAGAGGACAGGTTAAGAATCATAAGGACAATTGTGTGTGTACATGTAATGGTAGTACCTACCCCGCAGAAGTACGTAGTTATGAACGAATCCGTTAAAAATCATAAGAAAATTGCGTGTGTACATATAACGAACCGTGTAATGGTGATACCTACACCCCAGAAGTACCAGCGATGAACCCGACATCAACACGCCTAACAACACGAACACGCACAACTGAAGCACGCGAGGACACGGACTTAGAGACATGCAGGGACACAACAGGCCACTGTGTGGCCTCAGGCTCAGATACTAGGGCAAACACACAGACCAATACCGACGACGCGCACGCCAGCCACATACAGCCACTTGTCGTAAGACAGGGAGAAAGGTGCACAGACACATTGGAAGCACAACTGAAGCAGACGAGGGTATGGACTTAGAGACAGACAGGGACACAAAAGGTCACGGTGTGGCCTCAGGCTCAGATGCGAAGGCAAACACACAGACCAATACCGACGACGCGCACGCCAGCCACATATAGCCACTTGTCGTAAGACAGGGAGAAAGGTGCACCGACACATATAGTTACTTGTCGTAAGACAGCGACAAAGGTGCATAGACACATATAGTCACTTGTCGTAAGACAGCGACAAAGGTGCACAGACACATAGGAAGCACGGCACGCACACGGGCGAAAAGAGAACGCTCGGAGAAATGGGCTTCATACAGATACAGGTATGTGTGCACACGCAGGCATGCATAAATAGAGGTATAGGTTCAGCGGCTGGATCAAAAGGGCGCACACACGAACCGGGAATTTCGATTTAAATCTAGATATGTACACACAGACAATGACAAGGACACCCACCCCGGGCACGCATAATACACAATACTACGTTGTGGGATTAAATATTAGGCACAGAAACAGACCCATACATATAAAGTATTGGCTTCGGATACGCTACTAAGAACATCTTTGCACCTTGCTTAATAGATTGTTCACGTAGGAAAGGTATACTGAACCGGAAGCACATGTGTACACAACAGTAGACACAACCCCTGACACTCATAGGGACCGTACTATGATGCAGGAGAACAACCACAGACAACTACAAACTAGACACAACAGTAGCCACAACCACAGACACTTATAGGGACCGTACTATGATGCAGGTTAACAACCACAGACAAATACAAACTAGACACAACAGTAGACACAACCACTGACAACCATAGGGACCGTACTAGGATGCAGGATAACAATCACAGACAAATACAAACTAGACACAACAGTAGACACAACCACAGACACTCATAGGGGCCGTACTAGGATGCAGGATAACAACCACAGACAGGTTCAAATTACACACACACCCCATCACGAATGCTTCACTCACTCGGCTCAGATACTGCAACCACCGCAGAGGTAACATAGAATTGAAAACAACCAGACACACAGACATAGAACTATACTGGGACTCAAATGAGAGGCACATGCAGTATGTTATAATCCAAACACTCGAATACAAGACTATACAAGGACATAATATGAGAAGCACAGACGATAGACTATAATAAAATATCTAAACATACGAATATAAGATCTACAGGCAAACACGCAGATAACCACAAACCTCAATTGGAATCGAAGGAGAGAGATAGTGCCGTAGGTGTTGAGGTTCAACATGCGACACAACGCCACCAACTGAGGGCGATCTAAGTTGTCCAGAGTCAGCTCGTCTTCGAACAACCTACTGAACTTCAGCAGCTCAGCTGTACTCACCTGTACATGACCAACAAAGAAGCTATAGTGTGTATGCGCGACAGTATATGTGGAGATATTTGCGCATGCATATTAATATGCCTGTATCTGTCATGAATTGAAAAATCCGATGATGGCATGATGTCAGCGGGCATGTACAAATCAGATGTGGTGATCATATATCAAGACATATATATAT